GGGCCCTTCTGGTCTGGACGCCAAGAGCTGTAAGTCTTGCCTTACATCCCCTCCTGCTCCAGGCTGGGCTGTACCCCCGGAATGGAATCTGGGAGGGAGGCAAACAAACACAGCCCAGACTCCTTGACGATGCAAAGACGTGATAACGCAGAAATGCAGCTCACTCCAAACTGCACGTAGGCAAACAAATGTTTAACTTCAGACCCCGTCCTGTACCCTATAAATACAGCCCTTGTGGGAATGGTCAGTGGGAAGTTTCAGCTGAGGGGAGGACGGAGGACGCTCCGCCCAGGCCTCTCCACCGAGACTGCAGCCCGGCTGTTTCCACAGGGCTTCCCCAGCTGATGAGGTTGGATGTTCTAAGTACCCGAGTTGATGTAACTTTGTCTTGTTCTCCTTTACTGCTTACTCCTGCCCTCATCTATGTGCAGATCTCCCTTTTCTTCTTTCGGTTTCTATTAGATTTTTATAATATCAATGGAGTGTTTTTTCTCCTTCGAAGCAGAGAGTTTGGCTGCCATGAATCTTTTGTTATAGAACACCTTGGTAGCATCTTTATTGGAGGACTGAGTGCTTTTGAAGATGTCATTATGTTTCGTGCAAATAAACCACGGTTATACAATTATCCTTTTATCAGAGTTGTTAAAGCTTAAATCCAGGCTAATTTCTTCCCCAAATTAAATTTTTGACCACATTCTGTGGCAATATGTGATTTTTATGCCTTGTTAACTTATCCGACTCCCAGGCCTCCAACACGGACAGGCAAGGTTTGTCCTCATGAAACTTACTATTGTGTTGCAGTTAGATGGGTCCTCCTTGAAGATATCTTGCATAGATATTGTTTCTTCCTTTTTATGGCTGTTTTCCAAGCCTGAAATAATTGAAGATAATAAGAAGTAAATCTAAGAAATATCTTGAGTAGAGTAGGGGAATTAAAGTGTTGAAAAACACACAAGATCCATGTGTGTTCCTAACACTAACCACTGCATGACCAAATAATGTGAAACTGAGGATTATACTGGTGAATAGACAAGCACTTTAGAATAATATCAATCAGGATAATATTAGAAAAAACCTCAAAAAAGAAAAATAAATAATGATGGGCTGTTGCAAAAAATATGAGAGTGGAAATCATTTAAAAAAGAGAGAGAGAAAGAGCAGAAATCATGACCAAGACCACAATGTGAAATTTTACATCCTATGAGGACAGGAACATTGCCTCTCTGAGGTCAAATATAAGTACAGATGTACGAAGAGAAACTGATATGTGACAAGTTAATAACAAAGTCTAAGGAATGCAGGCTCACTGGCCACTTGGTCTTCTGAAGCTATCATTCACTCAAGGAAACGTGCGTGACATCAATAACAAGATCCTACTCACTGACTCACTAGACTTCTCGCACTGAGCGCCTGTGTCCACAGCTCACCTGGACTCCAGCCTTGGGCAAGTCCTCTGTCTTCCCTCCACAGCACCCCTCCTTGTTCCCACTGGGAAATCACATCTGATTGGAAGAACTGACACCCTAGATCAATGGAAGAAGGGTACGTGAATTTACAGTTCTGCGCTGAGAACAGTGCATGATATTCTACTGTGCAGGCTGCTGAGGAAGAACAGTGTGAGCACTGTACAACAGCCCCGAGAATAACACCTTCAACACTGGAAACATCAATGAAGTTCTCAGCCTGACACTGCACCCGGGTCAGTCAACACCTCTGTTTGCTGCTGATGCTCCTGCCCAAGCTCAGCACGTGCAGAAGGCTCAGCATGTGCATCCAGAAGGAATGAAATCAGTGTTCTCACAGAGCGGTTAACATTATTTCCAAAGGAAGACAATAAACATACGCTCCATCAGAATATTCTGTGGAGTTTTATGTGGAAAGTGATACAAGATGTTCGATTTTCTACTGTGCTCAAACTTCACCATAGTGCCCAGAGCAGAAAATAGTTAAGATCTTTATTTATCCATCCAAAAACTATTCATTGTATTTCCAGCATTGTTCTGGGTCTTGGAGAAAGTGCAACAGAATGACACACAATTGTAGTCAAGACGACCATAATTCAAATTATTATGTAACACACTTGATGACAGTAAAGAAATTTACAAATTTCATCTAGTCAGAAGAGAAGGGCTACAAAAGAATATGAGTTAGGGCAGAGAGCTGTTACAATCTGTGGAAGCTGCTGCCTACACGGTTCATAAATAAAAAGATGAATGAATGAACGAATGACTGAATGAACGGACAGATGGTGGCTGACTCACCCACAGAGACCAGATGAGTGATGTTCTCCAGCATCACATCAATGTACATCTTCCTCTGGGACCTGTCCATCAGGGTCCACTCCTCCTGGGTTAAGTCTATGGCTACATCTTTGAAGGTCACAGATTCCTAGAATATCACAGAGAGTGTGTTTCAATAGGCCCATGCTTAGTAATCTGTAGGACAGAACTGTCAATAGGATACTGACGGCAAAGGGGGAAACCGTGTGGATAGGAGGTCAAACACCGTGTGTGGCTCAAATCACACGTTCTCCCGTGATCTGCCTATGCCTTTCAGACACATTCAAAAAGACACACACAGTAGGCCCACAATTACTTCATTATCAAGGAATCTCAATGTGAAATCACCTGGCAATTTCCCAATAAACTGTTAATTTTGACTTCCTGGTTGGCAATTATAACCTACATTAAATAGCACTGAGGGGCACCTGGCTGGCTCAGCTGGAAGAGCATGTGACTCTGGATCCTGGGGTCATGCGTTCGAGCCCCAGGTTCATAGAGATTACTAGAAAAACGAACTTATACAGAGTGGTGCTGCGATTTCCACTGAGCTATTGTGCAAATGCTTCTTTCAGCGCCAACACTGACCACACACGTGATCAGTCCACTCATATGAACAGGCAGAGACTCATGAAGCAAGGCCCACCACTCATCGTACAAAACTCACTTGTTCTTTAGAAGAGATCAGGGCAGACAGTATCGTGAGGGGCTCCTGAGATTGCTCTTCTGAAGGATGGCCCCACAGTGATCCCTCTTGCAGCGAGCTCTCCATTCTCAACAGCAATTATCCTTGGATCGGTTCTCTGTATATTAATCCTGTTTTTCTGTTCAAAGGCAAGAGAATCCTCTCAATTAGTTCTGGCCTCTCTTGGTCCTTCAAAAACTGCTTCAGGATTTTAAATTTTACTCTAAAATGCACAGCTTATTTTTAAAAAACACTCCCCAGGCACTGTTTTCAGATTTCCAATTTTAACAAAGTTTAATCACAAAGAGGGAAAATGGGTGAAGGGGATAAAGGTAGTAAAGAGGATTTTAGTCATCTTTGGAAGCTCCCTAACTTCAAGTACATGTTAACAAAATTTTTAAGTTTAAAATTGAGAGGAAAACATGATTTCTTCTTTCTTCTCTTATACAGATGTTTCTTGTGTTCTCTGGAAAACTGCACAGCTCGAACACCTGTCCCCTCATGGGCCGAATGTCACCCCTCCCCACGTTACTAGGACTAATGAGCACACCATTTCCCAACTAAGACCATACTATGGAGGAGAAAGAAAACTCTGCCAATTTCTTTTCTGCAAGGACATCCTTCACAGAGAATGAGATATGTAAATGTTGGAAAGGAGAGGATTTCCTGATCAATCCCTGACCAAGCACAAGCATCTCTAAGTCCTGGGAATAATTAAGTAGTGCCCAGCTCCCTGAACATTGCCTGGGTGCACTGAGGAGACTCAGGCCAAGAGAGGCCTTCCCATCCACTGGCAACAGAGCTTTTATCCAGAGCAAGAGCCCATCTCCACTCACCTGCAGCTGCATTCTCAAGAATTCAGCCACCCCCTCGCCTCCTCTGGATCTCCACTCACAGAGAGTACAAGCAATATGCAGGAAAAGCTGAGCAAGGAGAGAGAAGCCAAGAGACTCTAGTCTTATCCCCCATTCCTGGAGATCCTGATCGTGAATCCCTGCGACCCCTGCATGCAACCCCCCAGCTCCCTCTACAAGAACATGCCATGGGCCCTCAGAGAAGTGGGCAGCTCTCACATCTGCCTGGAGCAAAAGTGAGAAGGCTTTGGCTACCGTTGCTAGTAAATAAAATATGAAGATTCTTTTCTATTTCCAGATAAGGGAATGAAAATCATAGAGTTTATAAGTTAACCAGCAAGTTGGGTTTTTTTTTTTTTTTAAAGATTTTACTTATTTTAGAGAGGGACAGAGAGACAGCAGGAGCAGGAGTGAGGGGCAGAGGAAGAGAGACTCTCAAGCAGACCCCATGCTGAGCATGGAGGCCGACGTGGGGCTCAATCCCAGGACTCTGAGATCACGACCCAACCCAAAACCAACTGTGCCACCCAGGAGCCCCTCAGACAAGGAAGTGAAAATCATGGAGTTTTAAGGTTTTTTTTGTTTTTGTTTTTTTTTTTTTAAGATTTTATTTATTTATTTAATGGACAGAGAGAGAGAGAGAAAGAGACAGCGAGAGAGGGAACACAAGCAGGGGGAGTGGGAGAGGGAGAAGCAGGCTTCCCATGAAGCAGGGAGCCCGATGCAGGGCTCGATCCCAGGACCCTGTGATCATGACCTGAGCCGAAGGCAGACACTTAACAACTGAGCCACCCAGGCTCCCTAGTTTGTAAGTTAACCAGCAAGGTTTTCATAAGGTTATTTAATTCTTTCCCTAAACCCCAAACCTAAAAGTCCCCAACTTAGAAAATGTAGAATGCAAGCATCTTACAAGGAAATTTCTTCAATCTAACATTTTAGTAAATTTGTAACTGGAATACTGTCCTACATTAATCATCAGCACAAACAACACCCCAGCATTTCATAAATCTTACATTTAAAAATATTGGTAAACTTTATGGGGCGCCTGGGTAGCTGTCAGTTAGGTGTCTGCCTTCGGCTCAGGTCATGGTCCCAGGGTCCTGGGATCAAGCCCCGCATCAGGCTCCCTGCTCCGCGGGGAGTCTGCTTCTCCCTCTGCCCCTCCTCTCACTCGCTCTCTCAATCGCTCTCTCTGTCAAATAAATAAATTTTAAAAAATAAATAAAGTATTGGCAAACTTTAAATTCTCACCAAAATTTTATTACTTAATTGTATTTCATGGAAAAATGATATATCACAAACAAAAGTAGATTTAACTCACCTCCTTATACCTAGAGTCCAGGAAATAAGGAAGACAAAATCAAAGTTTAATAAATATGACTCTTCTGCTTGGAACTTTAAATACATTCACTTAATTAATCCTTACAAAGACTTTGGTGTATTTACTGCTACGGACTGAATGCCCATGTCCCCTCCGCCCCCACACAACTCCACTAGTCAAAGCCCTACTTCGCAACATGGTGGTCTCTGGAGGTGGTTTAGATGAGGTCATGAGAGTAGGACCCCATGAAGGAACCGGTGACATTATTAGAGGAACAGACCCACAGCTCTCTCTGCCATGCTGGCACTCAGTGAGTGCCAGGCTTCTGCAAGCCCAGAACTGGTCCGTCACCAGGTCCCGAATCTGCAGACACTTTGGTCTTGGGAGCTGCCAGGCTCCAGAACTGTGAAAAATAAATGTGTGTTGTCTAAGCCACCAAGTCCACTGTGTTACAGCCTCCCAGAATGACTACAGCATGTACTTCTTTAACAAATGACATGAACATAGTTTTGGAAAGCTTTAGTAATATGACAAAACTACACGGCTAAAGAATGATACAGCTAGCACTTTAATTTTGGTCTATTTCCCAAACTCAGATTTCACGGTCCTCTTCAGGGGTACAAACCACCCCTAGGTCTTAGCAGGAATGCCCCTCAGCAATCCCCGCTGTGCCTCCTTCCAGCAGCTGCTCAGAATCACTCCTCCCACCTGGGGACCACCTTTAGTCTACCAGCCCACTTCAATCCCCATATCCTCCTTTCCACATGCATCCAGGACAAGAAAATGCAGTTTTGTTCCAACTGCGTATGCAAGACCTGTCCCAATGCCTGGTTACATGGCTTGTGCTCAAAACTATGGGAGATCAAAAATCCCCTTTTGTTAGATCTGCCTATCTCCCTGATACACCCATTTCTTCCACCCGTTTAATGACCAACACCCCGTAACAGACAACAGTCCTATTTCTCAAAATCCAAACATTCAAATAAGTAGTGTTTTGTTTTTTTTTTTTCCACACCAGCAGCTAATTCTCGGACAGCGACTGGGTGTGCCAGGGTTCGGCTCAGTCCTGGCAGTCTCTTCCCCGAGTCATCCTCAGATCCCCACAAGCCTTCCTCTACTCCAGACGCCAGCAGCAGATGTAGTGCCAGGCTACTCACACTTCTGCTGGGCACACTGCAGGTCCAGGGGTTCCCACAACCCCTCAAAGGAGGTTTGGTAATTTTCTAGAACGACTCCTAGAATTTAGGAAAAACTTCACTTGAGCTTCCTGGTCTGTTATGAAGGACAAAAATGAGCAGTCAGATGAAGAGGTACATGGGATAAGGTCCAGGAAGGTTCCCAGTGCATCATCCCTGTCCCCGTGGAGGTGGGGTGCACTACCCTCCAGCAGGTAGAAGCTTTCACCAACCTGCAAAGTCTCCAAACTGAGCTCAACCTCCAGCAAGCTCTCCCCTCCCCAGAGGCTGTTGCGTGGGGCTGATATCATTTACAAGCACAAATTTATTCATAACACTCTCCAGCTTTAATTTCTTCCATGCTTTCTCACTGGCCTTGAAGTAGGGCCTTTAGACCTGCCATGATCTTCAGGCCCTGAAACCCTCCTGCCTGCTGCCATAGCTCATCCACCCAGCTCCTCCCACTGCGGTCGGCTCCCTGCTTGTCTCAGCAATTTTACACAAGTTCTGTTACCATGAAAAAAATAAGTCTTTAAAATTATTCGTACTTCCATGAGTATTCCTAAGACTTTGCTCAAATAAATTTTTTAAAGGTTTTATTTATTCATTTGAGAGAGAGACAGAGAGCACACAAGCAGGGCGAGAGGCAGAGGAAGAGAGAGAAGCAGGCTCCCCGCTGAGCAGAAAGCCCAACACCAGACTCAATCCCAGGACCCTGAGATCATGACCTGAGCTGAAGGCAGATGCTTAACCAACTGAGCCACCCAGGCGCCCCTGCTCAAATAAATTTTTAATTAACTAAAATATCAGCATTTTACATAAGAGTTATATCCTTTAGGATTACATACACACAGTTTTTTTTCTTAAATTTCTTTAAATTATCTCTCCTAAATTAGCCTTTAAACAACAGAGTCTGACAATTTATCCTTCTTATTCTCTAGGACAGCTCCTCCGTCTGGCACAAGCCCTGTTCAGAGTTTCCTACCGCACACATCCGTCTGATGAAGAGAGATCCTCACTGCCGCAAGGACACTGCAGTGTGACTAGGCAAGACGACACAGAAGAGAACCCTGGAGACGGAGCACTTGATCACCTCAAATGCCTGCTATAAAAATAATACTCTCAACTTTTGAGAGTTAGTATAGATTCACTTTTATATTTGATATAAATACACTGAAAAGAAAACAAGACAAACCATTCTTTCTGGAATCAAATGCCTGTGCCTAAAATGAAAATACACTGCCTGATAATTTTCTTCAGAAGTCATTTATTCTTTTATATATTAAGATAGATCCTAAGACTTATCAACTTTTTCGTATTATTAAAAAATAGTTGAAACACGTCCTATTTATGGGAAAACCAACACTAAAAGTATAATTTATTCTTGGAACCTATAATATTTTGAAGCATGTCGAGTATTACAGTCACTAGGATTTCAAGAAATCTGACTTGAAGAGATCTGTGTTGGATGGTCTTTCTCTCTTCCCAGGAGCTAATGGGAGAGAAGGGTCTGCACAAAGATTTCATTTGCCTGCCTCGAGATGACCAGGAGGGGTGCTGAGAGCAATGTACTGGGCCTAGAAGGATACACAACGTCTCCCCCTCCAGGTTTTAACTACAGGCACACCTCATTTTAGTGCACTTTGCAGAGTTGTTTTTTTTTTTTTAAAGATTTTATTTATTCATTTGAGACACAAAGATAGAGAGACCATGAGCAGGGGGAGAGACAGAAGGAGAGGGAGAAGCAGGCTCCCCGCTGAGCCAGGAGCCAGATGTTGGGCTCAATCCCAGGACCCCAGGATCATGACCTGAGCCAAAGGCAGAGGCTTAACCATCTGAGCCACGCAGGCACCCCTGTTCTGTGTGTTCTGACTGCTACACTAAGCTGTCCCCCCATCTCTCTCCCTCTCCTTGGGTGTCTAGTCCATAAGACACAACAATATTGATATTAGGCCAATTAATAACCCTACAGGGGCGCCTGGGTGGCTCAGTGGTTAAGCGTCTGCCTTTGGCTCAGGTCATGATCCCAGGGTCCTGGGATGGAGCCCCGCATCGGGCTCTCTGCTCAGCGGGAAGCCTGCTTCTCCCTCCCCCACCCCCCCTTCTTGTGTTCCCTCTCTCGCTGTCTCTGTCAAATAAATAAAATCTTAAAAAAAAGGGGGAGGCCTGGGTGGCTCAGTTGTTAAGAGTCTGCCTTTGGCTCAGGTCATGGTCCCAGGGTCCTGGGATTGAGCCCCGCTTCGGGCTCCCTGCTCAGCGGGAAGCCTGCTTCTCCCTCTCCCACTTCCCCTGCTTGTGTTCCCTCTCTCACTGTGTCTCTCTGTCAAATAAATAAAATCTTTAAAAAACAGTAAAAAAAAAAATAAAATCTTAAAAAAAAAGGCGCTAGTCCAGTGAACACATGAATAAGAAAGTGAAGTGAAACAAGCTTATTGCTGATATGGAGAAAGTCTGAGTGGTCTGGATAGAACACAACACTCCCGGGGCGCCTGGGTGGCTCAGTCGTTGGGCGCCTGCCTTCGGCTCAGGTCATGGTCCCAGGGTCCTGGGATCGAGCCCCGCATCGGGCTCCCTGTTCGGCGGGAAGCCTGCTTCTCCTCCCTCTCCCACTCCCCCTGCTTGTGTTCCCTCTCTCGCTGTGTCTCTCTCTGTCAAATAAATCAATGAAATCTTTAAAAAAAAAAAAAAAGAACACAACACTCCCTAAGTCAAAGCCTAACCTATGGAGAGGCCCTAACTGTCTTCAGTTCTGTGAAGGCTGAGGGAGGTGGGGAAGCTGCAGAAGAAAAGTCTGAAGATAGCAGAGACTGGCTGGTGAGCATTAAGGAAAGAAGGCGTCTCCATAACATGAGAGGACAAGGTGAAGCAGCAGGTACTGATGGAGAAGCTACAGCAAATCATCCAGAAGATCTAGCTCAGAGAATTTAGGAAGGTGGCTACACTCAACAACAGACTGTCAGTGTAGACCCAACAGCCTTCTGTTGGAAGAAGATGCCATCTAGGGCTTTCATAACCGGAGAAGTCAATGCCTGGCTTCAAAGCTTCAAAGGACAGGCTGACTCTCTTGTGAGGGGCTAATGCAGCTGGTGACTCTAAGTGGAAGCCAATGCCCACGAACCATTCTGAAATCCTAGGGCCCTTCAGAATCATGCTTAATCTACTCTGCCTGTACCCTGTAAATGGAACAACACAGCCTGGATGACAACACATCTGTCTACAACATGGTTTATTGAATACTGTAAACCACCATTGAGGATCTACTGCTTAGAAAAGATTCCTTTCAAAATACGACTGTTGTTGATCTATGCACCTGATCACCCACCCAAGGGCACCCACCCATTAATGAGATTAATGTGGTTTTCAGGCCTGCTAACGCAGCATCCATTCTGCAAAATGGCAGGGGAAAAGGGGATACAGATCCAGAACATTGATAAATTATAGGGGAATAAAAGCTTGTAAGGGTCTCTATAGAAAAAAAATCCAAAAACAGAAGAGTTTCCCCCCTTTAAACTGTAGGCTCAGAGCGCCTGGGTGGCCTCAGTGGGTAAGCGTCTGCCTTCGGCTGACCCCAGGGTCCTGGAATGGAGCCCTCCCCACCCCGCATCGGGCTCCCTACTCAGGGGGGAGTCTGCTTCTCCCTCTCTGACCCTACTCCCTACCTGTGCTGTCTCAAATAAATAAAAATCTTTAAAAAAAAAAAAATTGTACACACAGTTGTAAATATGAAAGAATTGAGTAAATATTTGTTAGGGAAGAAAAGGTGTGGTACTGAAAAAGCAACATTTGTGGGGACTGAAAAGTGCAGCTGAAGGTCATTCACGAAGAGGCCTGGGGAAACCAGTGCTGAAAAGGAAAAGCATATGCAAATGTCCCAAGGTGAGGCAAGCCTGACAGGACCGTGAATTAGCCAAGTGGTCTGTGCACTGGAACAGTAAGTCAGTTACAGCCCTTTGGTGACAGTTAACAACCGAGGTTTTATTTATTTTTTTTATTTTTTTAAAGATTTTATTTATTTATTTGACAGAGAGAGACACAGCGAGAGAGGGAACACAAGCAGGGGAGGTGGGAGAGGGAGAAGCAGACTTCCCGCGGAGCAGAGAGCCTGATGCGGGGCTTGATCCCAGGACCCTGGGATCATGACCTGAGCCGAAGGCAGATGTTTAACGACTGAGCCACCCAGGCGCCCCAACTGAGGTTTTAATATTACACTTCATTTCTGTTTTGTTCAGTGTTCATCTCTGGCAAACAAATACTAAAATCTGTTTGTGTATTTTTTCCGCAAACAAAAGACCATATGGAAGCTTCTTTGTGAAAGGAAAATGAATAGAAGCATTAAGATACAATTGCTAAGACAGAGCTCCTTATATTCACCCCAGCTCGGTTATATCTGAGAGGCAGAGAGTTGAGAAGGGAGATGCTAATCTTAAAATAAAAAGATTAAAGATATTCTATTTGGATCTGATAGTTGGCTCCCTACTGCTGGCTCTTTCTGTCCTTTAAGTTAGCGGTCCAGGAAAACTGGTTTTTATTAGATAAAACATAAGCAGTGGTCATTTCAGAAAATAAGAGAATATCAAATCCCTATGCTCTCCCCTGTTGACACCCACGAAAAAGCCCATGCAAAGTCAAAATTCACATGATTATGTGAAATAATTTATAACCTCAATGGAAAGTGGTCTAAGAATAATTTCCATTATAATAAGCTCTACTTATGTAGGGATGCATTTTCTCCTGAAAAAGGGATGCAAAGAAACAGAGACTCGGAGAAATGGTGTACAGTTTAGTTTGGTTTACTCAGATACCCACCTTATGGACTAAGTTTGTCATAGGGAGATATGCATCCCATACAGACTCAAGAGGACTCATTCCATTTGATGTGGAGACTCCCAAATACACATTATATATAAACCTAAACATTGAGGATTTGATGGAGAAGGACCTGGAGGCTGGATGGGTTACACAGAATTCTATCACTTGACTCCTATGTAAGCAGAAAGAGGATGAAGAAAAAGTAAATGGAGAGTCCAAATGTTAAGACTACTTGACCACCAATGGTATAAAGTCCTGGCTCCTTAGTCAGAGTCCACTTCCTAGCAGGTCTGAGAGGAGTAAGCTGAGCTCAGGGGAATGGAGATTTGGAGATTTGGAGGAGAGCAGGGCCCCCCTTCTTTGTAAGAACTCCAGAGTGGTTACTGTTCTATTGCCCAACAGAAAAATATCTACCAAATTCTCAATTGATCTGAGTTCAAATATTAATATTAAATCAACTTAAAAGTTTTGAGAAAGCCATAGGGACGCCTGGGTGGCTCAGTCGTTAAGCGTCTGCCTTCGGCTCAGGTCATGATCTCAGGGTCCTGGGATCGAGCCCCACAGTGGGCTCCCTGCTCAGCGGGAAGCCTGCTTCTCCCTCTCCCACTCCCCCCTGCTTGTGTTCCCTCTCTCGCTGCCTATTTCTGTCAAATAAATAAATAAAATCTTAAAAAAAAAAAAAAGAAGAAGTTTTGAGAAAGCCAGAAAGGTGTCCTCTCTTAAAATCTTTGGGAAGTTCTGCAGCATGAACAGTCGCAATCTAGTATTGCCTAATTCCAACCAGCATAAACCTCAGTGTTTCCAAAGGAAACATTAAAAAGAAGATTATTTACAGTTTCTTGTAAGAGTTTATTAAGGGTATAAATGAAGCTACTGAAATTTGAAAATCCAATTTGATCATTGTTTTTTAATGTTTATGGTGTGAAAATTCGTAATGGGAAACCTCCCTAAAATGGAGTCGGGAGATTTGGCAGGGAGAACTCTCAGGCAACTGCAGACCCAGTAGGAAGAGGGACTGGACCTTTCAGGGACTTGACCTTGCACGTGGATACTACTCTACAACTCCAGCAGGAGGAAGAAAAGCTCTCCTCATCGCCCCCAGGACCACAGCTCAGCCAATGAGAAGCCACCACACTTCAAACTCCCAGTTTCCTCCAATGGACTTTTAGTTCACAGCAACCTTCCCAACTTACCCCTTTTCTCCTTAAAAAAGCATGCCTCTCCTTTGTTCCCCTACTTGCCTACAGTTTTTCTGCAGCTTGTTTGTCCCGGATTGCAATTCTATTCCCAAATATTCCCCAATATTTACCAGCTGGTAAAATAAATGGCAGTTCTACTTTTAAGGTTAACAATGGGAAACAATAAACATCCGTATCAAATGTCCTCAGATACTAAAAAATTAATTTTTCATTAACTAAAAGCAAAAACCACGTATTTCCTAAACAGTACCCGTTTTACAAGCCTCATTATCCTAACTGGACACAAAACATCGAGAAATAGAAAACAAAAACCCTGATTAGAATATCCCACACTTCTCAAAATAAAACATTTTCGGATAGCTCTGACAGCAGACGTCGGACAACGGGAACTCGCCATCCACGGAGCACTTAACGACCTACACCGACACTCGGATGCCAGCCCCGCTTCGCCCCAAGTCCCGACACGGAGCCCGCGGCCGCGGCTCTGCCTCCCGCCGAGGACGCCCCGCTCTCTCCCGCCTGGCCTCCGCCACCCCCGCTCGCTCCGCGAACCCGCGCCCTGCGCAGCAGCCGCGGCGGCGGCGGCCGGGGTCCCGCCGGCCCCGCGCCCCCAGCCCGGCGCCTCCACACAACCGGGGGCCGTGCACACACCTGTCACCCCACCCGGGAGGCGTCTGCGCACGCACGGCAAGAGGCCTCGCGGCTCTAAGTCTCACCTGGAACTGCCCGAAACAGCTCCCCGGAAGTAGGGAAGCAGCGGCCGGATCCCTCGGACACCAGGCAGCTGCCAACCGACCCGAGCGGCCAGCCGGCCGGCGCGCGGCAGCGAACGAGGGGCCGACCGGAAAGTCTGCGGCCGCCTCTTCCTACCTCCGTACGCACCCCGCCCGGGCC